TAGATTAGGAGTTGTTTTGAGCCAACTGAACTACCTTTTTTTTTATGATGTATTATTGATATACACTCTTATGAAGGTTTCATATGAAAAAACAATGTGGTTACTACATTCACCCATATTATCAAGTCCCCCCCATACCCCAATGCAGTCACTGGCCATCAGTGGAGTAAGATGCCACAGATTCACTGTTTGCCTTCTCTGAGCTACACTGTTCTCCCTGTGATCCCCCCACACCATGTGCACCAATCATGATACCCTACAATCCCCTTCTCCCTCCCTCCCCACCCATCCTCCCCTATTCCTCCCCTTTGGTAACTACTACTCCCTTCTTGGAGTTTGAGTCTGCTGCTATTTTGTTCCTTCAGTTTTGCTTCATTATTATACTCCACAAATGAGGGAAATCATTTGGCACTTGTCTTTCTCCATCTGGCTTATTTCACTGGGCATAATATCCTCCAGCTCCGTCCATGTTGCAAATGGTAGGATTTGTTTGTTTCTTATGGCTGAATAGTATTCCATTGTGTATATGTACCACCTCTTCTTTATCCATTCATCTACTGATGGACACTTAAGTTGCTTCCATATCTTGGCTATTGTAAATAGTGCTGCAATAAACATATGGGTGCATATGTCTTTTTGAGTCTGAGAACTTGTATTTTTTGGGTAAATTCCAAGGAGTGGGATTCCTGGGTCAAATAGTATTTCTATTTTTACTTTTTTGAGGAATCTCTCTATTTCTTTCCACAATGGCTGAACTAGCTTACATTCCCATCAGTAGTGTAGGAGGGTTCCCCTTTCACTGCATCCTTGCCAGCATTTGTTGTTCTTAGTCTTTTCCATGCTGGCCATCCTTATTGGTGTGAGGTGATACCTCATTGTGGTTTTAATTTGCATTTCCCTGATGATTAGTGATATGGAGCATCTTTTCATGTACCTGTTGGCCATCTGAACTTCTTCTTTGGAGAATTGTCTGTTAATATCCTCTGCCCATTTTTTAATTGGGTTATTTGCTTTTTGGGTGTTGAGGCATGTAAGTTCTTTATATATTTTGGATGTTAACCCCTTGTCAGATATGTCATTTACAAATATATTCTCCCATACTGTAGGATGCCTTTTTGTTCTGTTTATGGTGTCCTTTGCTGTACAGAAGCTTTTTAGTTTGATGTAGTCCCATTTGCTCATTTTTGCTTTTGTTTTCCCTTGCTTGAGGAGATGCGTTCAGGAAGAAGTTGCTCATATTTATATTCAGGAGATTTTTGCCTGTGTTTGTCTTCTAAGAGTTTTATGGTTTCGTGACTTACATTCAGGTCTTTGATCCATTGAACTACCTTTTTTACTGGTTCAGGTGAGATGACACTGAACTTGTCTGGTCATTGATCATTTGAGCAGATTCTACTCTGTTATTTGTGTCATTTTTCAGGGATTTGGCAGAAGAGTGGTTGACTGGAGGAAAAGGGAATCATTCATCTTTGCCATTTAATTCCAAGGCATTTGGAAGGAAAGATATGTATTTATCACCTTGATAGGTAAAAATACACTGTAGTAATTAAAGCAATGAAATGTTTTTCATCTATCAAATTGGCAAGGATTACAAAAGACAGGAAATGCCTGGGGTTGGTGAGGGTTCAGAGAATTAGCCCCATCATACATTGCTCATGGGAATGTAATGGGTGTAAATGTTCTGAAAGATAATTTGGCAATACATATATCAGACATTTAAAATGTGTAAGTCTTTTGATCAAGCAATTGTATTTCTAGAAATATTAGACTATAATCATAAACACATAGAAACATTACATATATATATATAGAAAATTCCTGAAATTTCCTATAATAATGAAAAACTGGAAATAATGAACAAAAATAAAATCTTGGTTAAATGATTTAAGGTATAGCCATATGATACAGCCATTTAAAATCAGGCTTTGGAATAATGGCATGGAAAACTTCCTAGTCTATTGCCTGGGAGAAAGTAAATTGTAAAGTATTTGATCAAAATTTGTTTAAAAGATACATACAAAAAAGAAGATACATATACATGTAAACAAAAAAAATGCAGGAAAAAATACATTAAGATAGTTACAGTGATGTGCTGGTAAGGGTAATAGATAATTTTTATTTTTACTTTTTCTTTTCTCTATTAAAATATTTTCAACAAAGAACATGTATTACTTATGAAATCAGAAAATTTTTTTCTTAAAAGTAAGAAACACAACAGCTCTTCAAATGGCCAAATTATGGATTGACATTTTTCTCCCCACTGTTTGGTACATGTCAGGTTATTTCTGGTACCTCCATCTCTCCACTTTCCTCTCCAGTACACATGCTCCTGTGCGCCACCCCTGCCCTCCCCCAGAAACCAGCCCAATGCATCTTCCTGTGCTCTAGGGGTTGCGGCATTCTTACAGGAACGTGTTTGCTAACTAGGGATAGAACTCTGCCACACACCTGAGTTTAGCCTGCCCCGTTCCTCATGCACTCAGTGTGTACAGGCTTCCTGTATCCATCAGGATAACCCCACACAGTCTGACAGTTCTTTGCTCATAATAGGCGCCCAATAAATGTTTGAGTGCATAAATAAAACACTCAGATAAGCAGAGACATTTTAGAGTTCTCTGGGGATAAGAAAAGATGGGAAAGCTGTCGGAGTGAAAATTAACTGGATCCACTCAGTCTGGGCCAAAAAGCCAACTCAGAAGTAGTGGCCTCAGAATTACTGTACTCAGGCTATTTAATCAATATTAAAGTTTACTGGCTCCCATGTAATTTTCCTAGAGTGTTCACCCTGTGAGGATTTCAGCAGTTTAAAAAGAAGAAATCATTAGTCCACCTTATATTTTCAGGGCCATGTTATAACCATCAGTGGAGCAGAACATTTTACTAACCAGCAAATTGGGAACTTGTCTGTGTTGGTGGGCAGCAGCCATGCTCGTAGAAGCCCTGCCCTCCTGGGCATAGTGCAGGCCCTATCTCCAGGTCTAGGCAATGGGGGCAGTTCTTGCTGTCCTCTATTGAACTTGCCAGATGTGTCAAAGACATAATCTCACTGACAGAATATAAACAACAAACCAAAAAAAAGATAAAGTGCTTCTCATGTCTTTTAGAAGTCTTCCTGGACTTGTTTTCTGCCTAACTTGGAAAACCAGACACTCCAGCTGTACTACCAAAGCTGAACTGGTCAGCCTTTCCGAGCTGTAGTTTTCTTCCTTGTCTATAAAGACACTGCTCCTAGCCTCCCTCACACAATTGTTTTGAGGCTGAAATGATATTATAGGTATAGAATGTAAAACATGACATAACTGTATGACATTATCTTTTGTATGGAATGCAGTAGGTTCTTAAGAGATGAGAGATGGTTTTACGTTGTGGAGTTATGAAGGTAGGCACCAGAGTTAGACCTCCACTGAGTGCACCCAGGCAAATCAGATTCTCTAAGCCTCGTTTTCTCTCCATAGGTTAGGAATAATAATGGCACTTCATAGAGCTGATGTGAGGGTGAAGTGCAAAACACTTCCAGACAGTACCTAGCACATAATGCGCATTTAATATGAGTGACCAGCAGCTGCTGCTATTGTAAATGACTGAGAGAGGTAAATATGTCCATAAAAATAGCATATTGGGGCAGAAAATCATGATTATGGGCGACCTAGAGTAGCAATGGGATCTCTATAAGCTAGGAGCTTCTGTTAATCAATCTGGCAAGCCTTCATGGAAGAACTGGACTTCTCAGAATTCTTTGAATAATAGTTGAAAGATGAGTTGTCTGGCTGGGGAGCAGAGCTATTAGAAAGGGTATCCCAGACAACTTGGAAGAAGGTTCAGTGGGTGTAGAGTGACCAGATGATGGGAGGTAGAGAAGTTCTGAAAGAAGAGGGTGGAGTTGGTCTGAATCTTGGTAGCCCAAATGTGGGCCTGGCCAGCTATATAAAGCTGTAAAGTAGAGCAGACCAAAGGACGTTTTCAAAGTCTTGAATTTAACATGTGGTGTGACTGAAAGCATAATTGGCTGTGCACAGTTGAATGGCCAGCTGCAGACTTCAGCAGAGACACTGTACTTTAGCCGCTTGAATGAGTACTGACCGACAAGAATTGTTCCAGGAGGCAGGAATTCCGGACAGTTCAATAGGTGAATGAATTATTATTTTTTTGGTATCATTAATTTACAATTATAGAAAGAACATTATGTTTACTAGGTGAATGAATTATTAATGGAAGGTTTGCCTGATAATGTGGAGGAAGAGAGGAGGAGGAGGGAAAGGTGACTCTTAGAAGAATAGAAATTACAAGATATTGGGTGGGGGGTGCTCTCCACACATAAGAATGCCCTGTTTTAAGAGGAGGTACCCAGAAAGAATACTGAATTTATCTTAACAAAAGGTGGAGTTTATTATAGTCTGAGTGTAAAGTATTTGGTGTCAGAAGCCTACTACTTCCAACGAAAGTTCTTCAAGATGGTGCAGCTTGTGCAAAATTGAATATACGTGAATATTGCTAATTTGTCCAAAGGTTCGTAGGATCACAAAATATGAGAAGGCCCACGGAGATAAACTGTAGTCCAATATCCTCACTAGATTATATAGGGAATAATGTACCCAAAGGCATACACGTGTGTCTGGTTCAATTCTCTCCATATTTTCTTTTAGCTCTCTAATCCAAAAATTTGAGGATCACCTAATCTCTTTGTTTCCCGTCTGGATAGAGTCAAGAAGAAAATCCCAATTTTGTTGTGAAGCGTCCTCCAAGAGCAAGAAGTCAGTCGCCTTTAAATGCAACCTCTTGTCGCCCCTTCTGGCAGGCTTTGATATGCCCACCGTGTTTTGCCATTGGCCACTTCGTGTGGCTCCTCCATGATCCGCAGCCAATCAACTTCTCGCTCTCCTCGTGGGTCGGGCTCGGCGGAGAGGAATGTACCATGAGGACGGCGCAAGGGGAGGGCCAGGAGGAGGGAGGGAGGGGCGGCAGCACAGTGCTTTTACCTTTTGCAAATAACCATGAGTTGCTGGTCAAGTCCGAGCCTGTGGGTAGCACTGGCGCCCTGAGGGCGTGAGCCACGAGCGTTTCCAGGGCCGCCTCGGGGGTGTCGCCCCCGAAGCCGGGGTCCTGTGGTCGGGCTGGAGCCCGGCCCCCGCCCCGCCTGCGTTCGCGCCGCAGCCTCAGCTGCCAGGTGCTGGTGCCCGCGCCGGACGCTGCGACCGGGCCGGTTTGGGGGCCGGGGGTAGGCTCGGCTGGCCGGAGCCGCCGGGGGGCGCCGCGCCGCGGGACGCACCAGCATGAGACTCAGGTGAGAATGAGCGGCCGGTCCCACACCGGCCCCGCCGCTCCGCGGGGCCGCTTCCTACGCGCGCCCCGAGCCCGGGGTCCCGGGCCCCGGCGGGCGGCTGCGGCATAGAGGGCGCCGAGACCCGCATGGGACTGAAGCCCCTGCCGCGGCATAGAGGCGCTTCCTTCTGGGGGCCTGCTGGCGTTCCCGCTGGGTCGGGGGCGGCCCTGTCCTTGACCTCCAGGAGCAGGGGGAGCGGGAAGGCCCGGCGGCCGCGGGCTCCGGTCGTGGGGGTGTAAGTGGGGCCAACCGGCTGGGACCGCGTGTGCGGCGGGCGGATACGCGCCGCCCGCTAGGGCCGCCCGAGGAGGGCTGCGGCCGGCTTCCCGCCGCCGGGTCCCGCGCGCCGCGGGGACAGCCGCAAGGAGCCGGTCCCCAGGGGAGCTGCCGCCGCGCGCGGGGCGGGCTTGGAGGGCGAATGGGCCCTCGGGGAAGCCCCCCTCCGCACGCAGAGCGCGTGGGTTGGCCGTGTGCGCCGCCCGGGTGTCGGTCGCCTTAGCTCAGGGAAGGCGTTCCTAGAACACAGTCCACATTAGTGTTCTTTTCGTGTTGGTGTTTAACGCAGACACTATGGTGTTAATGTGGAGAAACAGGTGAATCGCGAATCGGGTCTTACTTCTTTTTTTAAAGGCTTGTTTTTCCTGTTTTCGTGGGGTGTGGGTGGGCAGAATGGCACTAAACGTCAGAACTCCAGTGTGCATTTGGTCTCGTCTGACAGTTCGTTGCGGAGCCAGCCATCTCCGTAGCCGACTGCAGGATGACGGCCTGCACCCCAGGGTTGAGTTCCTTGGTGAGAAAGCCATCTTACAGGAATTGCTGCCGCCAGCAGGAAGCCCCTGCCCTCTCATTAACCTGGTCCCTCAGTTGCCAGGTCGCTGTTGCGGTGGCTTTGTCCTGTGTGCCTGTCTGTAGAGGGTTGTAGGGAGAGAATCACATACATACATTGTAAGCTGTACTGGGGTCAGAAGTTTGGTTCCAGTCATTTTAGCTTTACAGTGAGTTCCTCTTGTGCTCCAGGGTTTAAAATTTTTAAACTTTTTTGATAGTATAATGCCTGAGTTAGTTCCAGAATTATAAGATAAAGGGGGTTTGGGAGTTCCTTTGCGTGGAATCTTTAGGAGCCTGGACTCCTGTTTGTGTTCACAGCCACCAACCTTTGAAGTGTGAAGAACTTGACTACCAGATTGTGACTTTCCCCCCCAACCTGAGATGGTTCCCATTTAGTGAGGGCTTTTTCAAGGTGTTTCTAGGTGTGGGAGAGAAAATGGGTGTTGGAGTAATGTGGATAAAGTGCTTAGTGCAGTACCTGGCACATCGTAGACATTTAATAAAAGGAATAAATTCTTGCCTCTTTGGGTCGGTGGAATTGGACGTTTTGATTGTGTACTCCCTTCCTAAATTCGGAATGTTAGCCCTCCCTTCCGACTCTTCCTCACATCCCAACCTCTAGCTCTTACACTGAAATTTTTATGGTTGTTAAAAATGGAACTCCACCCTCTGCACCTAGAGGTAAAAATCAGCAAGGGAAGATTGAGGTCTCCCTGCTGGACCACATGTTGCATTTCTTCCTACAGGGCCATGTTTAGAAGAGGTATTGAACCGCCCAGTACCGGCTTGTAAATGGCCAGAATGGACCTTTTCTTGATTGTTGGGTAGTCCTGTGGGTGGGCGTTTGGGAAGGTTCTTGTCCAAGCAGAACCATAAACCTTCCCTAATTTCTCTTGATACTGGCAGCTAAGAAGTGGTGCAGGGTAGTGATTTGATGGACTCTGCCTCTGAACAGGGTTTGCAGGGAGCAGCTGTTACCGCCTCTGACTTGTGGCAGGTTTCATGTGAGTAGATTAAAAGACCACTAAACTTGCTGTTCTTGAGAGAGTAAAAAGAAGCATCACTGGTTTATTTATGTCCCACAGTATTGGGTATGACATTTTAATAATAATCATGTTCTGAATTTACTTAGCACTTTTTATTTGAAGTAGTGAAGTCTTTCATTGTCTGTTATGTCACTGGTTCTTGTCTCTGAGGTCATCACACTTTAGTATAGAATATTATTCCCACTTTATAAGGTGAAGACTGGAGGTGACATGATTTGCTCTAAGTTGCAAGTTGGTGCCTGAGCTGGACTTGAATTGAGCATTCCTTCTTATATTACACTTCACTGATAACTTTTATAGGAAAAAACCCTTTTTTTGAAACCTGAATTGCTTAAAGGTACTGGACCATTGTGCTTTTCTGATTGCTAGATAGAATAGTTAACATTTATTGCATGCTTTTGTATGGAAGCCTGTGCCAGGTTTTTATGTACATTACCTCTTTTATTCCTCACAACAATATTCAAGGTAGGACTTCTTGTCACCCCCAGTTTTACAGATGATCTAGGGTTTGGTGAGACCCCAGGTCAAGGGAGTGACAGGAATTTGAGAAGGTGCTCAAAGCTGGGTTATGTGATTCTGAAGATGCCCTTAACCCTGTGCTTTTGCGGTGACAAAACATGGACTGCAGAGTCCCTAAACCGAGTTGCTGCTGCCCACCCGGGTCTGGAAGGCTATGGTTGAAACGGAGCTTTTTTTTTTTCACTGAAGTATAGTTTTCATACCCTGGACTTTTCCTGTGCTAGAAGCATTGCTCTAGCCAGGTGGAGGAGGGTCATTACTTTAGGAAAAATAATCAGAGCTGAAAAAACATCTATATTTGGAGAGTGTGAAATATTTAGTAAGACCAGCTGGGGAGAACAGGGACAGAGAATGAAGGTAGTTAGTTTGTGGACAAAGGAAATTTGTGATATTCAAACTCAGGGACATCTTTAGTACCAGGCTTTTTAACTTCCACTACGGGTTGAAATTGTAAACCTGGAGGCACAGCACTTGGACTGAAATCTGTGCAGTAATAGGGCTCTCAGTTTCCACTTTAGATGGCAAAGTTGAAAATCTGATTCTTTGTTGGTCATTGGCTTTCCCAGATAATGCAGTGCATCATGGGAATGGTAGAGAATTGTTTGGAAAGTTAACCTAAACTCTTTGTGAACTTCCCCTTCCCTTCAACCTCCCTGCCCCCAACATCTGTGGTTCCACTTTTCAGAATTCAGCTCTGATCCTGCATATTGTCAGAGTGATGGTCCAGGCTCTGGGGGTCTGGGGACACACCAGGGGACAAAACATCCCTACCCCTGGGGTGCAGCCCTGTGTGGCTTGGGCTTCAGCTCATCTTCAGGAAGGCTTGTAGTCGTCGTTATGAAGAACCCAGGAAGGGAGGTCAGGGAAACCATCACCCAAACCCTGCAATTCATTGATTTTTTATCCTTGGTGTGTCAGTTTCATGAAGGAGAGAAAATTACCACAACTTGAACACAGAAAGTGGTGATGATCAGATGAAAGAAGGAAGATGCAGCAAGCCTGTTGCTGTGTACCTCAGTAAGGGGCTGCAGGCACCGGAAGGGCAGGAGCCTCTGCTAAGCAGGGTCCTTGGTGAGAACAGCCCTGTGGTTCTGCATCCCTGTGCAATGCCTGCTCTGTCTGTCACGTATAGGGTGTGCAGGCACAGCTGGTACATGACCAAAAGTCAGGCAAGGTGTCTTTCTGCATTTGGCAGGTCTACAGAAGTCCGTGTAGCTGTGTATCCAGTAAAGCGTCTCGTCTTGAAGCCGAGGGACAGCATGGGTCAAGTGGCTAAATAGTAGCTTCTGTTGACTTTTCCTGCTTTAAAATGCATAATAAGTACCTGACAGTAGTGAAGTGAAACAGGCCCCAGCCTTGTGCTCCCTCCTGCCCTGACCCTTCTCTGTGCTGATCACAGTGAGGCATGGAGAAGGCTTGAGTCTGGGATGGCCTTCCCCGTGTTAGGGTTGGAGCTGGGAAGAGGGAGGAGCTCAGCGCTGCAGAGGGAGGATGGAGAGCAGGTGGTGTGATCTCTGCCTCTGGGGCCCCTTGGGCTCTAACTACGAGCCTTCAGCACAGACCCTCCCCAACTGACAGAAACGCGACTCATGAAGGAGCCAGCCGCTTCTCCTTGCCTTCCCCGCCAGCACTGCGGCCTTGTGACGAGGACTGTCAGTCTTGAAGCGGGGATTGTGGAAGTGGCTTCATGGTGATGGTAGCAGACTTGGAGATGTTGGACAGCGAGCCTGGCTCTGCTTTGGCTGGTGACATGTGTGAGCCGCTTCAGTCCCCAGCAGCCTCAGAGGGTAGGCGCTGTTAGGACGTCTGTTTTAGTCATAAGGAAGCCGAGGTGCTTGCTGAGTGACTTGCTGAGGGTCTCAGGAAGTGCCAAGGCAGACTTCAGACCCAGGCATTTGGTTCTGGCGTGGAGCTCTCAGGGACCAGGTGAGGGCGGCTGACTTGGGGAGACCCACCCTTGAAGGGTTGTCACCATTCTCGGGTTACCCCTTCCTCTTTTGCAACCTCTTCTCCACCCTTTCACATCACCTGCTCTTCACTTTTGAGTTATCTATCTGAAATGCAGTAGGAGAGCTGTATTTAGGTTAGCTGGCATATTCCTTTAAAATTGGAGTAACTGAAGCAGTAAGAGATCACAGGCCCAGGTGGATTTCCCAGAAGGGACACTAGAACAGTGTAAGGGTCTTCAGGGACTTAGGGGCTGCACCATGGGATCTGAAAAGAGTGTTGATTACAGCTCTGCTCCCAGAAGAGGTAAGGAAACCCTTCTTCCCTCCTTTACTTTGCTCAGCATGGGTTTCTGATTCCCGAGACCTGGAACTTGGGCAAACCCCATCATGGCCCTTGCTCAGCTACTTTATGGATGACTTTTATTTTATTTATTTAGTTTTTTTTAAATGAGCTAGTCTGGGATCCTGACCACTGTTAGGAACAGAACCTTTTACCCAATTTGGTCATGACTGGTCAGAGTCATTTGTTTCCCTGGGAAAAAGGAAAAGGGAAGTATTTTACCTAGTGACTTGGACATGTGTCAGTTTGTTTCCAAAACAGATTTTTTCTCAAAACCAG